CAAAAATGTAGGCGCAGTACTCGTAACCCTCTCTAAAGCTACCTTTCTCCCCTATTGATTCTGAGCCATATTAAGTGTGTTGTGTGATACTGCATCTTGAATTGATGTAGCTAAGGCTTGCGCAACGTGCCGCCTCAGGCTGCCTGCGGCCGTACGGGCCGCACAAACGTGGCAATGATGGTTTCCCTGTGCAGCTTACTGCAGCCTACCTATCTTATCCAGAGCAGATGCAGTAGTGCGAAAGGGAGGGAGTGTATTTTTGCCCTGAGCGGTGGCATCCGCAAAGCTCCCGTGAGCAATTGCGGTTGCAACCGCAAGTGCGGCACAAGTGCAGAGCGCTTTCATTGCAGAAACAACCGAAACTAACAGTGCTTCCCGAAGAAAATATATTTGAAGCAAGTATGAAATGCGTTCAGTTTTTTTTCCTGTAGTTGGTCGCAGCGTCTGGAGGTCTAGACTGGTGCTGAGTTCGGACCCCGCTGTCGATGTAGCAATTTCGCACAAACGCACCTGCGCGCAGTCGCTGAACCCCCCTTTTCCGTGTCGGCTGTTGAATAGGTTAATTTAAGCGGAACAACGTTTTTATTAGAATTTTTAATGGGTATGGTTCCACATTTATGGTGAGGGATCGTAACGCACTACTGTCTTGTGCTACTCTCAAGCCCATCGAACTAGCACGTAGCCAGAATGAATTATCAATTAATGACCAAGAAATATTGTATTTCTGGGTACCCTTTGTCATTTTTGTATTAATAGTTATGCGAGAATAATTCCCCAAGCCTGCTATGTTGGTTAGGCGCTTAGTGCGTTGACCTTCCCGAGCTCAGCCAAACCACCGGTGGAAAAGTGACCCTGACAGCGGCAGTCATATCGGTATTTCCAGTGAGCGAATTCATTAACCCCAAAGCCTTAATTAACGTATGCTTCTTCAAGGGGCAAGTAGGGAAACGGAGAGGCCAAACCAAGCCTTCCGGCAAAATGCTGCAACCCCGCCTAGTAAAGTGCATAGAGAGCGCCTTCCACAAGAAAGCAACCGGCCGAATCGTAAGGGAATTACCTATAAGATATGGAAATAGCTCCCACCCGGGAGTACAAACTAAGAAGTGGGGCTCCCTTCCCTCCAAAGCTTATGTGCTTTCTCTCCCGAATTAACATAAAATACAGGTGCGCCGACACCTGCGCAAAGTGTACGATTGGTTTGGCATGTCAGCACTTGCATGAGACAATTGTATGCAGCCCAATGATATGTCCAATCAGTGCAGCAAGTGCACAAAGCAGCAGAAAGGGAACCCTGGAGATCCTGACGCCGCTGCCGAGGTGGAGAGCTGGTCAGCGAACAAATCGTACGTCATTGACGTTGCGCCGCTGAAGATAGGTAGCAGTGGAATTTATGTGAGCCTGCTTCCTCCGATTAAGCCCACTACATTGAACCCAAACATGGTGCGGCACATCCGTTACTATTCTGTTGCCGAAGTCGTTCATATAGGTGTGTCTGTCCCTGAAATACTACACATGCCCAGCTACGGCTAAACAGGCTAAACAGAATTTTCAGGCTGCAGAAACTTCAGTTGAATGAACTCGCTGACCAATTCTGCATGGAGCCTGAATGAAGTGCAGCACTATTTCTGGAAGCTGGCTTTCAGCAAATGCAATAGCAGCAGTATTTGGGGGGAAAGAGCAGCCGCGCATGCTGGTAGCTAACTGCAACGGGTCATTCATATTTTCCCCATCATACAGAAGCTCCGACACCCCGAATCGACAACAGCTGAGTCAAGCGCACGGCCCTAAAGCGTAAAGACGAAAAAACAGCACGGCCAACCCGCCGGTGCGTAGGTGGTCATCCAGTTCGAAAACATTCTGCGCAGCAGGTAGCCGTTCTACTACTAGTGCGGCACTCTGGGATAAATCCCTCTCGCATCAATGCAACGTCTCCATTAGGCAAGCTCCTCTCTCGAAGCATGAGAAGCGCCTTTATCTGTGCCACGTTGACGCAAAACAATAATCTGACCGTTTCTATTGAGCTGTGCACGCCATATGGTTTCCGTTGTACCCAATATTTAACGTACCACAGGGCATACAGGCTTGCAAAATCGAAGCAAGCACCTGTGATGTAGTCAGCCGCATTACGCCAACTCAAATTACTCCATCATGTGCTGAGGCCACAACGTATCAAACACACGTGCCTTCCGACCAAAAAAATTCAACAAATGCTGATCCGCCGACTGCAGCGGCTGTTCGCACCTTCTGGATATCTGGAAACCAGTGTCCTGTTCTGAGTTAGCGCAGCGCCAGCTCCGGCCTTCGTGAGAATGTTAGCAGGGCGTGCAGTTTCGCTGCATGCCTGAGCAGGAAGCTGCTTTCTACTGTTGAACCAGGTTGAACACTAGCACAGCAACCAATACATTCATCTCGCCAGTATGGGCTGACAGTAGGCAAGAAAACTCCGCGGGGGAGCAGAACCTCATGAGCAGCATTCCTCTTGCCAATGGACCTCAAACTCCACAAAAAATTGCCCAGGGGCCATCCTAATGGCTTTGACGACAAGCGCAACACCTCGTGCTGCACCTTTCCACCAATACTCCAAGCTTTTGTCGGGACTGCAAATACGCCGCAAGGACCCCAGAAGATGTCCCATAAACATCATTTACGTAGCAGCAGCAATAGGACGCTGAGCAACGTAGCTCCTACTCCCCCACGAAGTCACAACACCAGCTGTAGCAGTGTATGCGTACTTATGTACAGAAAGTTACTCACCTGGGGCTGCTAGTAACCCTCGGCCTGTCAACAAAAGCTGCCAGTTCATTTTGCTGTAATGCGGCCTCGACGTTAGAGATATTGGTGGCGGAAGACCAACGTCACCACAGGTGTCAGGACACGATGTAGACGTATCTGCTGCTGCTGCTAATTCTGGTGCTGCCTTTGCTGGCATTCCTGCGGTCACTGCCTCTCCGGGCAGCGCCAGTTGGAATGCCAGCTGTTGCGCCTGCTGCAGCGCCTGCATGCAACGGAGATGAAGTGGCTGGATCTTCTCGAGGGCGCATGATGCTAAAGTCGTTAGAAACCTAATAGCCAAGCGGACTTGCTGGTTCAGCAGCAGCAGCTCATCGGTTGCAGCTGTTTGCTGCAGCAGCGGCTTTGCAGCGACCGCTGACAATGCACCACAAGGGCGTGGTTTCCAAGGCACGCCCTCTCGGGAACCTAAACTCACTACACTAACACTAACAGGTAGTGCCGTCAGTCGGATATGCCATAACTCCAACTCATAAGCCGACCGCCCCGCTGCTACAGCCATGCGCTGGCTATCCTCTGACCCTAACACTGTTGATTTATGCCCACCTACAGACTTCCGCAGCGACGAAGCAGCTAAAGCCTCACCAATAGAATGCAGCAGAGCTGCTGCTTCACCTAGCAAGACAGCCAGCTGCAGCCTCAATAGCGGATCCTCTCCTCCCGTCTCAAGAGCTGCGTCACGAATTGCCTCAGCAACAGAGCTCCCTTCCTCGGCTGCGGCAGACATACGTGCAGCTTCTGTGGTGCGAGGCGTTTTCACATTTGTGCTGTGCTGCCAAGCCTGCGCAGCGCCTACGGCCGCCAGCCACAACGGATCCTGCAGAAGCTGCAGCTGACCTGTAGAGGCTACGGCAGCAACAACAGAAGCGAATCCTGCAGGATATTGCCGGTGCAGTTGTCCAATGGAAGAACGTGGAGCACATGCTGCTGCTCGTGTGTGGGCATCCAAGCGACCTGCTGTTGCTGCGACCTCGGCTGTCCCCCAACCGTAGCCTGTATTGCGGGCTGTAGATTCATGTAAAGCACAAAATATACCATGTGCGTGCCCAAATGTAGGCATCCTTACGCGTTGGCAGGCCTCTTCAACTCTGGAAAAGGGGGCAGGCTTACTGTGCTCCTGCACCGCAGGTGAGCCAGTTCTGACAGCACGCTCACTGTCCCACCGTGTAGTACCAGTGCAGTTGGCCGAAAGTACAAGGAACCCTTAATCTGGGCATGAAAAGAGTAAACATATCCGGGGAGCCACTCTGGAGCATGCTGTATTTTTGTGGGCGCCCGTGAACTGGGCCGGAACAACTCAGAGAGTATTCCCAGGACGGCTGGGGAGAAAAGGGATAAATTTGCCCCTGTAGTGCTGCTCCTCCTACTGAGATGCTGACTGCTGAGATTCACTCCATATTTCGAGGCGCGTAGCCGCACCTTCAACTCTCGGAACCTCGCTGTGAAGCTGCATTCCCCACCTGCCCGAATCGTCGCGCAAATATGTGCCCTCCTGGGAAATAAAATGAAATTTGGTTGCAGATGCTTCTCGGAAATAGAGCAATTTATAAATCTGAGAGGTAATTATAGCGTCTGAAGCTTCCGAAACACCCTTTGTCACTGGAGCGCATGCGCTCCACCTCTGAGCCGCAACCGGAATGAAGGCGCAGGTAGACACTCAGGCTAAAGAGCCCATTTCCTTTCACATTATATCTACATTATACTCCCATAGAATATATGTGAAACCGTAACCCCATTAGATGTAGTGTTTTATCCCTGAGCTAATTGGGTCACCGGGCAAATACGTAGGGAATCTCTGAAGCTAACGAGGGAAACACACGTCAGAAGAAATACCATGGGATTGAATAACGAGACCATAACTGACGTCTTAAGGCTACTGAAGCGATTACTGTGGAGTTTCGCTCATCTACACTCTAGCGGTGCAGCTGTTCGCCATTGGAATCGACCGTGCGAGCCCCAACTCGCCGCTAGGCGGGTGCGTCGGCAGCCATCTCATTTTTTAGTGTAGGCTTTCAGAGATATTAAAAAAGAAACCACATTTGCTACATTTAAACATCGCCAGGTAGCTTTATTCTCTCTAGGGATGAAAGCGCTCTGCACTTGTGCCGCACTTGCGGTTGTAACCGCAATTGCTCACGGGAGCTTTGCGGATGCCATCGCTCAGGGCAAAAATACACTCCCTCCCTTTCGCACTACTGCATCTGCTCTGGATAAGATAGGTAGGCTGCAGTAAGCTGCACAGGGAAACCATCATTGCCACGTTTGTGCGGCCCGTACGGCCGCAGGCAGCCTGAGGCGGCACGTTGCGCAAGCCTTAGCTACATCAATTCAAGATGCAGTATCACACAACACACTTAATATGGCTCAGAATCAATAGGGGAGAAAGGTAGCTTTAGAGAGGGTTACGAGTACTGCGCCTACATTTTACAGAAACAGAAGGTGACAAACACTGCACCGAAGAAATAAACGCGTTCAGGAAGGAAGTGGATTCTAGTGCAAAACCTTACAAACCAAATGGCAGTGGAGCACCAACGACTGATCTTGGGAGCTTCTTTACCGACAATGATTGCGACGCTATCAAGAACGGGACATTTACACATATTTATGTAGGTCCATACTTAATGGTTTCAAAGCCTGGCATGATTCCAACGATTCCAACGCCTCCTACTCATTGGATGAGAATAGCAGCTGGTTACAGCGAAGAAGTAAGGAACGAAGGCAAGGAAGCTGGGGTGGCTTTTCGCAGGATGTTACTGGTACTAAAGTACTTCTCTTCTCCGCCAGCCAGCCAGCCGTTCGGACAAAGATGACCTGCTCGGAAGCAGTTCAACAATGGAGAAAAGGCTTTGAAACCTTCGCGTACGTGCAACTAGAAAGCAGCTACCGAATACGCCTCATGGACATCTGCATTGTGGTGGCTCTGTCGCAACATGCCACGTCAAGCCAAGCCTTCTGTGTGTCGTTTTAGGGGCAAATACCCTGAAGTGTTTCAACAAAACACGGGACCATACACTGACACGAATGCTGTAAGCCTTGTCAGTGTGATGAACGAGAGTGAGCAGCTAGTATACTGCGGCAATCCAAAAGGGTGTGATGAGGGAATTGTCCTTTGCTATATCAAGCCGTCACCCTTCCAAGAAAACGCTCGTCCTGTGACGTGAGCGTACAACACCTCTTTGGACAACGCCATGGGGAGACAGTGTCTAATAGTGGAAATATTAGTTTAGGGATGTGCTTGTTGAGCAGTGCTACAAGCGTACACCGCGAATAATCCCCTGAATAGGCAAGATAAAGCAAGAAATGTTTTGTTGCTTGGAATCAAAGCTACTATACTACTTCCACCACTAGGGAACAGGACAACATTTGGAGATGAAATGAGCTGTGTCTGTTAAATTGCTTCAGTGCACAGATGTGGCACAAGGTGCAGGAAAGCTACAAGCTCAAGCCAAAACTGGAGGCTCACAGTGGGACAAAGTTCGGCCCTTAAAATCTTACAGAGAAGTCATAGAAAGCACCCCGAGAGAGACAGACTGGAGTTTTCGCCTTTCAGTAACTGTTTTGTACTGACGCTTCGTGCAGGTGATGGGAATCAAGCTTGCTTGAACGCGGTCAATGCCATTCGTGATGCCGAAGGGCTGAAGCTTGAGAAATTCACTGCTGCAGCGAACGACAGGGGAAAACAATCAAGAACCCCCTCCACCCCTTATGAGGACGCGCTGTATAACGTGACATG